GTTTCATTATATTTCACACATACACAAATAAACATGCTCGTGTTGAATATGAAAAACGGGGCTTTGAGGGAAACCTGCAGAACTCGTTTTTAAAATGATGAATAATAGATGAGGTGAACGCCAGGTGTCCAGTGTCCGCGCATTGTTCTTGTCTGCAGCTTTTATGCTGGAATGTCAAACACACTGCGACGCCCTTTAGGCCCGACAAACCCAGCCTACAATCTTTACATTTAGCTTCATGTCATTTCGTGTCATTTGAGCAGTTTGATTCATGACCTTCCGGAGGTGGACAGCGCGCGGAGGCAGGCTGCACGCGTCCTCGCCGTGAAATAACCATCACATTCCTCAATCATCCCCCATTTTTCTGATTTTTTTTAAAGCTAAGCGCAACTCAACGGAATTCTTTAAAAGCCTTCACATTACTCTATCCAGATCAATTATAGCCGCTTCAGTTTTAGCATTTGCTTTGGAAAACGAACGAGCTCCGCTGAAATGGAGCACAGCGATTATATGTGAGGAAAATTTCATTTCCGTAAAAGGAGTTTTTGGGTTTTGGATTTTCCCCCGTGGATCAAATGGCGTCCGCAGTAACAGCAGGGAGGTTTGCTGACTGCTCTGCTCCTCGCAGTAAACCGTTCATGGCGCACAATAAGCTTACAACTTTTTTTCCTCTGCATCCACATTTGCTGAAGCGGCCTGTTTTAACTGGGCCCGATTATAAGATCAGCTCGAATTCATTTAACAACAACAACAAAATAAATAAATAAATAAATAAAATGTCATTTTAATTGGACAGTCTTTTTTCCCCTTTTACACCATTTTTTTTTACACTGCGGCAAATGCAGGATGTCTCATTTACATCCAATCTGACTGTTTTCCACCGGAGAAAAACAAAAGGCCCCGTGCTTGTATAAAAATCCACCGTCTGCCGCAAAATAACAATCAAGGCCTCGATCTGACGTCTAACATCAGCTCTACTTCGAACCCTGAACAAGAGTGAAAATGAGTTCAGGCGGATGGCAATTAGACATTTTTTCTTCGCCGCTGCAGCGCATATTTCGATGTGTCGGATTTGCAGAGTTAATAGGATTAGATTATTTTTTGTGCTTTTATGCACGGGGAATTCCTAATCTGGATTTTTAACGCTTCTGTGGATGGGCGTAACCCAAACCTGGAGAATGCGTCTGTTTCCCCTGCAAAGGGCCCAATGATGTCTCATCACCTACACTAATATCCTCCGAGGCTGACAGTTCCAGAAAGAAAAAAATCTTTCGTTTGATTATTTTTAAATATTTCTCGGCAGGTTGTGTTAAATCTAAATGTGTGTTCATTATTAACATGTTGGGTTGATATATACTGAAAAACGCCTCAGAATACGACGCGTGTTTGATGCAGAAATATAAAACACCCCTTTAATTTCCCTTCATCCTAATTTAAGGTTAGGGTGGAGGTGGTAGTGTGGAGGGTGGGGGTGATTCGGGTAATTTGGCTGTCCTTTTCCCCCGTGGTTGGCAGCCGATTAACTACGCTGACAAATCAAGTGTAAAAAGCCAAGGGCTCTCAAGGTACCACTAATCCCACTGGGCGGGGAGAGTCAAATAATACGCAGCATTCTGGAGGATGCTCTTTTCTTTCGTTTGCTCGTTTTCTGCATTTTTTCGTTGTGAGTGTTTCATAGTTGGGCCATAAAAAATCTAAATTTTGTGAACAACTGATCATTTAAAATTGTGTCAGCCTGAAAATACAAGTTATTTCTAATGAAGGTTTTAGGCTTAATGGCGGGCAATTCAATAAGCGAGTTTTTGGATAAGGTGGGAAATATTGGTGATTAAAATACCTTCAATCAAATGAAAAAAGTCGTCAGCTATTAGGCTGTCTGGTGTTACGTAAACGGGTGGTGGCGGTGTGTGTGTGTGTGGCTGTGAGGTGTATATCCGTGCCTTGGCTGTAGCGTACACGTGCAGTCATTTATTCTTTTTATTCGAACGCGCACACTCGTGATTAGACTTATGGAGTGGATGCTGTGTGCGTGCGCTCGCGTGTTGCGTGTACTGGTAAAGTATTGGCGTCTGTGGTGTCGTTGAGCACACGTGCACGAGGCTGTGGGAGTTTGTGGGGTGCTGGGTGCTCTCTGACTGGGTGATGTAATGCCGTGAAGGGTGCTGCAGCAGAAATCACGGAGCCCAGGGAAGGCGTGTCCTGCCTGCTGAGAAGCTGGATAACAACACGGTGCCCACGCGCAACCGCTGCCAAATACACCCCCCTCCCGCTCTCTCCCTTCCTCTGCTCCACAAACACACACACACCGTCCCTCAGCTTAGCTTTCTTTTTCTGTTATTTAATTTAATGAACTTGTAGTTTATTTTAGTAAAAACGAAAAATCTGCAGGAATAAAATCTGGAAGCTTTTAACAGGTCAGCAAAGAAAACGAGACTAAATGTTGACTCATGTCATGCTGAAGGTTTCAGGGTTAGAATTTAATTATGAATATATTTGGTTTCCTCTGTTGATACATTGAATTGTAGATAATTGTATGAATAAAAATATAAAACAAAAAACAAACAAACAAACAAACAAAAAAAACCAACAATGTTTTCAGTCAAACTAATTACAATTTCCACCTTAAAAAGATGAAATGACAGACTTGTTTTAGTCGACTTCTAATAGAGATTCTGCACATTTTGCAGCACCTTGGTACATATGATGGAGATTTTCATGGCATGATTATCATGTCTGTTAGAATTATCAAAAACATTATTACTGTCTAAAAAAACTGAACAATGATCATTTTTCCATCTCTTAATCTGTAATTTCATGTTTCATTTCATGCCAAAGGAATAAACACACGAGTACAGAGAAGCAAAGAGACGTTCTATCGAGGAACAAATACTCGCTGTCTCAGCAGCTTGTCCAGAGGGTTCAGAACATCACATCGTCACATCCAGTCTGTAGAAGAACTGAGCCCAAACGCATCTGCCTAAAATGGTGGATCAGTGCTGCTCTGTGCACCAGGAAAGGTCTGTTACAGACTGGAAGTGTGTGTTTGCAGTGCGATGAAGAATAGTGTTAGGGTGTTTTGTGAAATGCATGAGTGGGAATGGATGAGGTGGAACATCCCTCCCTCCTCCATCTCTGTTTCCACTCATCGTTCCTTCTGCTGTCTCTCCTCCTCCTCCTCTCCACTGTCAGCATGCATGTGCTGCTCAAGTGATTTTGTACCACTGCAGCAATAAAGCCAGGCAAAGAAAATGGCACTTCTCTGAATCCGCTGTGAGATGCAAAATGGCCAGTGTCTCCGTACGTATCTGGAGGCTTTACTCTCAGTGAGATAAGCTGGTCCCAAAAATCTGTAGCCTGAGATATTATCGTTAAGCTATGGACGACATTTTGTGTCTGCATCTGGACGGCGTTACCGCATGCATGTGTGTTTTTGTGCAACGGGTTACGCTTGTGATCAGGACACCTGCTGTAAAATTACTGGCAAGTAGCATCAATTTAGACACAAGAGGCCAGCCGATTGGTCGCTTTCATCTGCATTTGCACACACACACACACACACACACACACACACACACACACACACA